TCTTCGTGGTGGAGGAGTACACGGGCACCGAGCCCCTGTACGTGGGCAAGGTAAAGTGGGGCCCAGCGCTGCCCGGCTCAGGCTGCGCGGCACGGTACAGGTCGGAGACCCTGGTCGCCTGCCCAGCCTCGATTCTCCGTCCCTCCCTGTGCCTCCTTCCCGTTCCCCAGCTAGGATCGGGCGGCTGAGCCCAAAATTATCTCTACCCTGACTCCCCCATACCCTGCTCGACCTCCACCTTCTGCATCCTACAGAAGAGGGAGCTGAGTAGATGCGCGGGGACTCAGCTGCCATCTAATCACAGCGCACCTTTCTGGCCACTCGGCCTGAAAAGCCAGCCCAGCTCCTGCGCACGCGGGGCCACGCCCACACTCCCTGCGGGGCGGGGCCCGAAGGCCGGGTCCCTGCAGCCCGACCCCCAGCCGTACTGCCTGTGAGTTTCCTGTCTAGTGCCCATCTGAATGCCCATGCCCTCCTGCCACTGCCCCTGTGCCTGAGCTGTTTACTCCCCTGACCTGCTCTTTCCTGCTCCTCCTACCAGCTACCGGGCTCACTGTTGGTCTCAGTTCAAAGGCCGCTGCTCGGAGAAGCCCTCCCGGACCACACAGGCTAGGACAGACCCCCCCTGATACATGTCCTGAGGTCCCCGTACCCTCCCTTCCCGATCCCCCAATTACGCCTGTGTTCGCTCGATCGTGTGATTTACATGTGTCTTTCTTCTCAGGCCATGTTTGTTGTGCTCACCATTAAATCCCCAGTGCCCAGCCCAACACGGTTCACACTGTTCACTGAGTGAATGAAAGTCGCCTTCTCAGACTCTCCCAGTAAATGCTAGTTCATCTCGCTAAAGATCTGTGTCCCAGGAGTAAAAGGAACCGAAAAGCACTTTTATTCACCCATTCAGTCCCTGTCCCTTGTGGGGTCCAGGTGTGATATTGGGGAGGCAAATGTAAGTAAGATCTAGCCTCTGCCATTTGGGGTTCCACGGAATAACAGACATCCTGGTATATTAAAAAACTCAAAGCCAATGCCTGATGCTGAGTAGGTACTCACTAAATGCTATCCATTGGCTGGCTTTATGGAGGAAAAAAAAAAAAACCAACACCTGAACTGGGTTTTGATGTATGTGTAGGAGTTCATCAAGCTGATGGGGAAGACTATGCAGACTTCAGAGACCTAAAGGAGCTTGGCTTATTCAGAGACTTGTCAGCAGTTAATGTGTTGAAGTGGAGGATGATTGGAGGATGAAAGCAGGGTGGTGCCCAGGTACAGTTCTCTGGCTTTTGCTAAGGCGCGCCAGATTTCCAGGAAGTTTTGGTTGGCAGTGGAGCTTTTTTTGGAGCTTGTGGTGTGCTGAAATGTTTCGGGACTGGGAGGCTGAGTGATTCTGAGACCCTCGGATCAGGATCATTGACAAGGACAGGAGGCAAGTCGAAATATACACTTTAGGGTTTGCCTGTAGGAAACCCAGCTTTTCTCCAATGTGGACACAGTAGTCCCTGGGCCTCAGCTTCTTTCCCTTCCTTACCTGTGGTTGAAGTCAATCCCCACAGCTGAGCCGGGCGAGGATTTGATGGTGCTGGGCGGGTTCACAACTGAAAATCATCCTGCAGCCTGGAGGCAGAGCCCAGGACTGTGGCTCCCCCCACACCCCGGGCTGGAGGAGGGGTACGTGTGGGGAAGGAGGGGCCTTTGCTGGCCGAGCCAGGCAAGTAGCTCAGGGTAAAGTAGCTACCACACGGAAGGCTGGGAGGCAGACACCACCAAGTCTGAGGCCTTGCTCTGCCAGTGCGCTCACTTCCCTTCCCAAAGACTTCATCTCCATCTGTGAAGTAGAACTCTGAGCGCGCACTTCCTACGGTTGAGGATGAAAAAAGAAAACAGAGCATATAAAGCACTTGGCCTGTGGCTTGTTTGTTTGTGGTTGTTTTTCATTATTCCCCTATAAAGTACTTAATCCTCAAACTGCGAGGTAGGAATCATCATTCCCTTTTGTAGACGAGGAAACCGAGGTCAGAGAGGGCAACGTCATGGCGTGGGCATGTGGCTTAGCCAGCATTTGAACCTGAGTGAGCCGGAGTCACTGAATCCCCAGGTAGAAAAGGCCAGCCCTGGCCTGACTGCCCAGACCTGGCAGAGGCCTCCAGGTTGGGGCAGAGGCCGGTGGTCCAGGAAGACCCCAGGATTCTGTCGTCTGCTAAATGTCACGCTGAGTGCTCAGCCTTGTAGCCGGCAGTAGCAGCTGCGGCTCTGCAAAGACCTCTCCAGCCATCTGAGTCCTAAAGAGCAGAGAAAAAACCGGCCTCTGATTCACCACCTGCACCTTTATCCATTGAGACTTTATTGTCTCAAAGGCGCAAGCTGAGCCCCATACCATCTCCTTGGAGCACAGTCTGGTGACGGGGGAGCATCCCAGCAAATCCTCTCATTAAGAGGAAAGATGCAGGAGCCAGAGTGTGGAGAGCAGAGAGCTGAAGCTGCACAGCAGCACCCAACCAAGAAACCAGGCCAACGCACCTCTCTGTCCTGCTGAGCACAGCGGCCCACGTCTGTAATCCCAGTACTCTAGGATGCTGAGGCAAGAGGACTGCAAGTTTGAGCGCGACCTAGGCCATGTAGTGACAGTGAGAACTTGTCTCAAAATGAAATAAAATAAATAAATAGAAAAGGCTTCGGGGTGTAGTGTAGCGTGCAGGCCCTGGATTCAATCCCCAGTAGGAAGAAAAACTCGAGTCCTGCTGATGACTCCATGCCTACTTCGGTTCAAGAGTCTACTTTAAGCACCTGCCATGAGCCACGACAGGCCTGGGCATCTTTTCCTTCCTTGCAGAGGCCTCTCTTCCTGCCCCTCTCCTTTACCCAGACCCCTGCTCTCCTCCACTCAAGGCCACCCTTGGAGAGGCACTCTGTGCAGGGAGCAAGAAGGTTCTGGTTCATTGCAAATATTTGCCCCTGCACACTTTCTTACCGAGGAGGCTTTGAGTGTGAGCAGGGGCGGACAAGCTAGAGTGCCCGGGCTCAAAACCAGAGCTTTCTTTGTTTAGGGCCCTCTCTCCTCGGCCACGCTGTTTAATCTCTCTGTGCCTCGGTTTCCTTTGAAAGAGGCTCTCACCAGGACTTCCTCAAAGGATTGTGGTGGTGAGAAATCTAGGAGTCAGAGTAAGTCAAGAACCTAGAATAGCATGGGGGTCCTGACCCATGCTTGGTAAGTGTTAGCTGTTGTTACTGTAAATCTTGCTCCTATTTCCACCACCTGGATATACCGACTACACAGACTCTGCAACCCCCGTCCCAAGTCCCCAAAGCCTTCTTGGCAACCTGACAGCCTGGTTTCTCAGCACTAACTGGGGAGAGGTTGTCACGAGCTTCTAGGACTGTGAGCTTGTGCTTTTAAAAACCACCTGTCCCCTTTCCAGCCGAGCTGGCACATGTATGCAGCTGGTGTGTGCGTGCACACCATGCACATACATGTGCTCACATTGTGCTCCCTGGCTCCTCAAGGAGAAAGGACCTCTCCATGGTTTCAGCTGATTCACTGTTCCTGGGCCCCCCACCCCCAGGGAGCCGCTCCAAGCATCAGTCCTTGTCGAATTCCAAAGGTAGCTTAGCAACAGCACCAGGCACGGTGAACCCCAGGCGCCCAGTAGTAACCTGTTTTACAACTGCCTCCTCCATCACTCACCCACTGCCAGGCTCCTGTCGGCCCCCACAGGAACCTCGCGGCAGGGACCTCTGCGGTGGTCGCCAAGGCCCCCCAGACGGCTCCCCGCATGGTCCCACCCCACCCTCACTTCCAGGCCACCTCTCCTCACCTTCTCCCTCCGCCACCCTCAGACCAGCCTCCCACCCTTTCCATAAAATCTGGGTACTTTGACTAATCCTTTGTCCGAATTGTAATTTCCCCCAAGGCTTCTGTCAGCTGGATGTGGATTTTGTAGGATTTTTAATTTTTTTTAAAAAAAAAGACAGAATTATGGGGTCAGCCCTTATGACCAACTCCTGTGGGCGGTGAGATCTATTTTAGATATACGGCAGGATTAGAGTGGGGAGGAGAGCAGATTTAATTAAGTTGCTAATATTTAAAGAAAATTGATGAACTCCTGGTTTACGAGTTGTGCGGGTGTGAACAGACCCCTCACATTCTGGGGGAGGCTTTTTATTTGATTTGCTTTCCGTTTAAATCCTGGACTCGTTTTATTTGCGTAGCTACAGTGTCCGTTTAATTGTCTTTAATAAGGAAAACGTACCTCTGCTCACATTTAATTTTGATTTAATTAGGAGGAAGTAATTAATGGCCTCGTAAATCCCATTTTTCAGCCCCCTGGGATGAGAAACCATCACTCTCATGTTTTCCTCATTGTTTATGACCGAGGGCTGGGGCCTGAGGGCTTTCGCCTCTGGGGCCGGCCTCATCCCATGCAGTAGTAAGAATCCTGGATGCACTGTCTCAGCAGCCTCAAGGCCACCTTTTGTTAACTATGCGGCTATTGGCCGGATTTAGGCCATCTCTGGGCCTCAGTTTACCGTCTGTATCACTGGGAAAGAATGGTCTCTGATCGACAGGATTATCATGAGGCATCGGTGAAATAAGGGTAAAGGGGCCTAGAACTGTGCCTGGGATGTTATAGTGCACGGCCACTGTGCTCCATAACCCAGATTGTGTGGACCTGGGAATGAACAGGGTGACTTTGTCCCAGGAGACAGTTGTGTATGTCATCATTTGTGCATCTAATGTGTGTGGTGCTGAGCCTGCTGCTGGGTGCTGGAGATGTGGAAACAGACAGCCATGCGCCCTGACCTCAAGGAACTCGTAGTGTCACGCTGTCCTGTGCACACAGACACACACACACACACTCAGCCTGTCCACTGCCCACTGCCAGCACCCCTACTGTGTGCCAGGCGGGTGGAGCTCAGACAGAAGACTGGAACTCAGCCCCTGCCCTGAGTCCCAAGGCAGCTGGAGGCACAGATATGTCAGATGTCACGCAGCAGTGCAGAGCAGAGAGGAGGGTGTACAGGAAGGGACGGGGGAAGGACGAGGTCTCTCACCCAAAGGGGAAGAAATCTGAGAAGGCTACCTGGAGAGGGAAACAAGCTGAGCTTCAAAGACAGGAAGATGTCAGCTGACAAAGGCAAAGAAAGTGTCAGATCTCCGGTGCACCAGGAATTGGGTCTACGGCCCTTGGGTCCGGGAGATAAATTAGGTGACCGCTTCCATCCCTTCTGAGATTAGGGAGGGGAGATAGCTTTGCAGATCTACCTTGGGCACCTATTATGTGTGCCAGAAACTTCCATGTCTTGCCTTATGGCTCTTCAGAACCTGCGGGGGAAGCGATAGCAGCCCCATTTGCAGAGGAGAAAAGAGAGGCTCAGAGAAGGGTGGTCCCTTGCCCAAGGCCATGTCACTGGCCTGTGGCAAAGCTGGAGTCAGCACTCAGCTGCTCCCGACTTCAAAGCCAATTATCTTTCCTGATTTGTGACTCAAGGCCCCTTTCTGAATAATGAAGTACAGGCTCAGAGAGAAGAGGCCACCGAGGAGAGTGGCCTGCTGGGTACGGGGAAGAGGCTGGTATCAAGACCAGTGACAGCCCACTCTTCCCCCCTTCCCCTCATCTGCTGCTAGAGATGCAACACGCAGACTAACGGAGGACACAGAGGGAGCCCCTGGACTCTGAAGTCAAACAGACCTGGCCCATCTCTCGGTCTCTTAACCTGGTAAATGGGAATTTGTTCACACACTCCACTTCTGCACACGGCCCGGAACAATCCGACACACAGTAGGTGCTCCAGAAATGAGAGGGCCACCATCCCGCAGCCTTTGCACACAGCTGAGAGTCGAGAAATATCTTTTCAGGACTGAGTCAGAGGTGCTCTCTCTCCACTCCAGAGTCAGGACCCAGCCTGGAGCAAATCCACAGCTGCAAGCTCTTAGCTTCTGCCCAAGCAGATTGGCCCTGTCTGCCTCTGAAGTCCCCAGAGAGCAGCTCCTGTGCCCCGCTGCTAGCTCCAAGTCGTGCTTCACAGAACATCGATGACATCATCGCTGGGTTTCACTTCCTCCTCCCCACTCCTCACTGATCAGTGATCCCTGCCTGAGGTCTGAGTTAAAATGTCAAAGGCTGCAGGGACGTAATGGAGATTCAGGAGGCAGAGAAGGAAACCGCCATAGACACAGTGTGAACAGGCGCTCATTTATTCCTTACCCCACCTTCTCTGGGTAGGGCTCCAGCTGCTGTCTCAAGTGGGAAAGAAGTGCTCCAAGAGGTAAAATTAACAAGCCCATGACCATACCATTAGTGAGTGGTGGAGTCAGGAGCTTGGCTCCACGCAGAGCCAATGCCTCAGTCAACCCAGCCTAGAAATGGGAATAGTAATGTTTCATAGGGCAGTGACAGAGACCCATAAGTTTATTGCTGTTAAACTTCCTCCCAAGTGGCATCTCGTCCACCACACTGCTCAGAAATGTTTGCCGATTAAATAAGCAGATCACAGGTCCCATTGTGAAAGGGGAGCAGACACCCCACGAGGGAACAGGTCCACCCTCTCCCACCCCATCTTCCCTGGGAAGAAGTGTAAACAGCCAACAGGAGACACAGGTCTCCTCAACTCCGGCACTGCTGATGATTCAGGGCCGACGTCCTGAGATAATTTTATTGGGGCATTAAACTGAGTTATGAGGTTTTTACAATCCAGCCACTTATGAGAAATCTATTAACAGTAACTGGACAGGAAGAAGGCTTCTCGGTGGAGCCCAGGATGGGCATTAATTGGGGCAATCTATAACAGGACAGGGACCCGGAAAGGTTCCACCAGACGCCTCCATTTACTCCCTGCAATTTCTGCTGAGAATCAGCAGACTCGCCAAAAAGAGAGAGATGCCCATTAATCGGCTAATGAAATATGAAAATGTTTATGGGCCATTCAATCTTCCAAATGGCACTTCTATAATCCACCTTTCAGACGCAAAGTTCTACCCGCAGAATTTACACCCCGCTCCTCCCTCACAGCAGGGGTGGGCCTTCCTCCCTTCTCCTGACGGATTCATTGGCACCTGACCCCCTGTTGAGGGAGCTGGGGTTCCTGGCCCAAGCGGAGCTTTAGGGATTCTCTCCTTCATACCCCATCAGCCCGGAATCTTAGAGAGAGCAGGGACCTGCCCCAAGTCTCCAGCTTCATCCAGATGGATTTTCCTCCACTCGGGGCTGCCTTGGAGATTTGGGCTTTGGAGGGTAAAGTCTTAGGTGATTCTGTTTGCAGGAAAACAGACTTTGCTGGTTCCTCCCCAAGAGAGCTCAGTGGAGCACAAACAGCCTGGGGTCTAGAGCCTAGCTGTACTGGAATGAGAGAAATTCCAGTTATATATAGTGAACATTTAGTACTAATATAATAATAACTATAGCTACTGTTTATTAGACACTTATTATGTCTCGGGCAGAGCTGATTTCCAGCTAGTACAAACAGGTATAGTTGTACCGGTTATTAAAATACTGCGAAACCTCCATGCCTACAGTAAACAGTCCCTCTCCACTCCCCGCCCCAACTCTCAGTCCCCCGGACTTCGTGCTCCAGCAACCACACCATCCCTGCCTGAGCCAGCAGGGCCCTGCTGCAGTGCCACTCCACCGGCAGCACCCCGCCACTCTGGCTGTTAAATAAGGTGCATGTCACTGGTGGTGGGCAGCTGCTAAGGGCCTTGGGGGATTCTCAACTCACTGAACCCCTCAGCTCCTCCAGGAGGGTGTGCTGTTCTGATGGCCCAGTTACAGATGAGGCGACAGGCCCAGAGAGGTGCAGTGGCTTGTCCATGAACTCGCAGGGCACTGAAGCTTGCTGAAGCCAAGGCTCAGCCAGGCTAAGGGGCTCCTCCCTTCCTATCAGAGGCATAGGGTGGAGGAGTAGAGCGTGAGCGAATCGCCCCACTTTTCTGATCTCAGTAGGAAAATGGAAGAAATGAAAATCTGGAAAAGTAGCAAAACACACTCTAGTAAGGTTTGATTTTAGAGTCCTGGCCTGGACAAGGGTGCTCTTTGCACAAGCGGGTGTGCGGAGGTGTCCACCAACCCCACTCCTTGTCTTCCCCTCTCTTCTACCCTCTGTCCCTGCTGTGTGCTGAGCCCTGAGCCCCCTGTCCCCGTATGCTGAGATGCCACCCTAACCTCCTGGGGCTCCACACCTGCAGGAGATGGACCTATAACTGGGAGTGTAGTCATGGACCTGCAGCTAGGCAGCTCATTAGAAATGCAGACTCCGAGGCCCCACCCAGAACTACTGAGTCTGAAGCTGCATGTTCACAAGATGCCTGGATGATCTGCATGCACTTTGAGGATTTCAAAGCTCTGGCTAGAGGGATCCTACAAGACTGAACATGATAATGATGGTTGTAGTACTAAGAGATCTTGGAGGGGGACTGGGGAGAGGAGTACTGAAAAAATTTCTAGAACAGGTGGCATTTGGACTGAGCCTGGCAGAGTGGATTTTCAATGGGAAGAGGAAGAAGGGCCAGGCTTAAAGTAAGAGCCTGAGGGCTCTGCCTGCTACAAGGCAGAGAGGTAAGGAAGGGACTGTGGTCTTCTTTGTAAGGTCATGGTGAGCCATGACAGAACTGTAAGCAGGGAGGACCCACTCAGATCTCCGCTGAGGCTGAGAGCTCAGGGGGCTGAGGGAAGGTGGATTACTGGGCCAGGCTGGAGTAGGGTGAGTCACAGAGCTCCACTGAAATACCCAGGGCAGAGACAGGCTCAGATTGGCCTGAGCCTGTCTTCTAGCCTCAGTGTCTTCAGTGTGTGTTGAAGGACAGATGTGCTTAGGAGTAGACCCTCAGTGGGACTCGAGTTGGGAGGCGGAGAGGAGCTTCCTCCCCAGCCTCTACCCTGCCTCCCTTCCTACTTTCCCAGATTCACTCGGACTCAGACGAGGGTGATGGGGCCATCAAGTACACCATCTCGGGCGAGGGCGCTGGGACCATCTTCCTGATAGACGAGCTGACGGGCGACATCCATGCCATGGAGCGTCTGGACCGCGAGCAGAAAACCTTCTACACATTGCGGGCCCAGGCTCGGGACCGTGCCACCAACCGCCTGCTGGAGCCAGAGTCAGAATTCATCATCAAGGTGCAGGACATCAATGACAGTGAGCCTCGTTTCCTGCACGGCCCCTACATCGGCAGCGTGGCTGAGCTCTCTCCCACAGGTGGGCTGCAGGCACTGTGGGATCAGGGTGCGGTGAGGCCCGGGTGACTGGAGAGAGGTGCTAGGTCCTGAGTGCAACTGCTGGGCAGGGCAGGAGAGACAGGAACTGCTGCCCCAGGGTGCAAGGTACAGACATGAGCCCAGCTGACCCCCAGGGCAGGCATAGTCCTGGACACAGGTCCAGCTGCACAGCTGGAAAAGGCCATGCACATGACCTTAGCCCCATCTGTGCACCTCCCCCCAGGGACAAGGACCTGCACATGAACGTCACGCTCAGGCACAGCCACACCTGCACAATTGCGCACAGAGCTGCATGCCTGGACACACAGGAGCCCCTCCCACATATAAGCTTAGCCATGCACCACACACAACCACACCGGAGACACAGCCCTGCAGGCAGACAGCACTCTGTCCTGGTCACACACACAGGCAAAGTGTGTGCTGTACCTTCAGGAAAGTTCAACTGCACGGACACAGCACAGAGCGGGTCCATCTCCAGATACACCCAGACTGGGGACCCGGCCCTCACCAGAGAGCCTCTGTGCAGCCTCAGCCACATCCAGGGAGCCAGGAAAAGGCTCCAGCAGCCTCTCTCATCCCGGACCTCACTCGGCCTGGGTGCAGCCAGCGAGCGGCATCCAAAGGTGCCGCTTGGTGCCCACCAGGAAGGCCCAGCTCAGCAAGACTCTGCCACCTGGAGCCCAGGACCACACTCACACACACTGAGGCCCCAAACACCGTCAGCTGCACTTCTCGGGTGTGACTGCAAGCATCCGGGGCATTGCAGCTGCACACACGTAGCCGTGCACCCCACAGAGAAGAAAGCCAGCCCTCAAAAACCCACATCTACATGAAGACACCAGACACAGCTGTAGTCACAACCACCTTTACACAGAAGAGGACAGAGGCTAGACTCCAGGTGACTCTGCCTCACCCGCCCACCGTGGGAGCCCCAAACAGGTGTCTGACCATGGGGGCCTCACTTAGCCCAGAGCTCTCTGGGCTCTGGCTGAAACTGGAGCCGCAGGGAAAGAGGCCCAAGCCGGAAGCTGCTATGCCCTTCCCCGCCGTGTTAGACCGGAGTGTTCTGTGCCCTGGGCCTAGGCTGTTCGAAGCTGTGCCCACAGCTTTGTGCTGCCTCTGTCTGACCTCCGGCTCCCCGGCTGCACATCAGAGGCCAGGGCTACTTGAGGTCTTGCAGAAGGGTGCAGGGAGACAGCAGAGGAAGAGGAGAGAGCAGGCCAGAGAGAATAGGGGCAGGGGGCACAGGGGACAGCAGGAGAGCAGGGGACAGTGTGTGTGGGCTCTGTGCATACCTGTGGGTACACATGTTGCCTGACGTATGTGTGCATTCTACCTTGTGTGCAGATGTGTGCCTGCATGGCCTGTGCATGCTGGTGACATGCTGTGTCTACTTCAATGTATTTGTTCATTTATTTTCAATTATTTTCTGAGTATCTACTATTGCTGGATACTGGGGACACAGCAGTGAAAAGGTAGACAAGACTTCTTGCTCTCAGTGAAGGGCACATTCTCCCTTCATTTGACATTTGACAGCAAGCAAACAAATGATTGGTCCCATAAGACCTCTGTGAGGAGGTGATGCTAAAGCCATGAAAGAAGTGAAAAGATGGGTCCTGTGAGAAGAGCATTCTGAGCAGAGAGAACAGCAGATTCAAAGGCCCTGGGGTTTAATTCTCCCTAAGGAGAAGTGGCAAGGTGACTAGATCATGCCGCTTGTAGACCATAGCTGGGGCTTTGCCTTTTGTACTGAGCAAACCGAGAAGTCAGTAGAGGGTCTTGTCCAGAACAATCACCTGATGTGACCTAGTTTTAACAGGATCTCATAACAATGAAGAATTAGGCAGGGGTGGGGGAACAGGGGGGCTGACAAGGACAGAAGCTGGTGGCTCTTGGAGAAGGATGTTATAAAGACCAAGACACTAAATGGTGGTGACTTAGAACAAGGCAGTACCAATGGGGGTGTTGAAATGAGGTCGACTTGTGGATATATTTTGAAAGTAGAGCTGAAAGTATCTCTTAATGGATTGGATGTAGGGTGTGAAAGAAAGAAAATTTGAGGATGCCCATTTGGATTTTGACCTGAGCGATTAAATAGATGGAATTTCCATTGACTGAGATGGGAGGAGCAGATTGGGGAGCTAAAGGGAAAGCAGGAGTTTTGTTTCAGACGTGCTACATTAGAAGTGCTTATTAAGCAGTGGAGAGCTTTACAAAGACAGTTGAATAAACAGGCTCAGCAGAGAGGCCTGGGCTGGAGAGATGCATTTGGAAGTTATCAGTGGCAAAGACCGATGGCGTTTCAGAGCCTGGAAAGAACTTAGAAATTAATTTTGCAAATGGGAAAAATTCGATTCAGAAGGGATGGTGACAGGCCCAAGGTCACACAGCATGCCCGAGGCAGACCTGGCTTTCCCAGCCCTCACTCCTTGACTTGAAGTCTGGCCTGAGCGTTTCTGCACGGAACAGGCCAGAAAGCCGGCGCTGATGCTAGAGAAGGAAGCAGGGGGCTGGGCGTGGTGGCGCACACCTGTAATCCCAGCACTCAAGAGGCCGAGGCAGGGGGATCGCTGAGACCAGGCTGGGCTACATAGTGAGTTCCAGGTCAGTCTCAACTTCCTAGTGATAGACCAGGCTGGGCTACATAGTGAGTTCCAGGTCAGTCTCAACTTCATAGTGAGACCCTGTCTCAAAACAACAAAACAAAACAAAGAGAAGGAAGCAGGGGCTGCATCTGAAGGACTCGAGAGAAACAGTAGCCTTTTCAGCTCCAGAAGCGGCAGGACTGATGCTAGATAGCATCCACTGGGCTTGGCCCCTAGACTGTTGGATGGAGACAATAATGGGAAAATTGAGTCCAGGAGAAGGACAGCAGCTCATCCAAGGTCACGCTGAGCCTAGGAGGCAGAGCAAATCCCTAGTCCGTGAGCACCAGCGGAAGTCCCAGCCCTACCCCGCCCCTCCCAGCCGGCTAGCTGCCTCATCGCACTGAGAAAAAGAAGTAGGCGGGGTGACTCCATTTGGACAAGTCAGGGAACCCGAGACGGAGAGGGAAGAGGCAGAAATTAAATTAGTTTATTTCATTTGAGCAACTTTTGGAAGGAGAAACCAATCTGGCACCAGGATGCTTGCGGAGAATCGGGCAGCTTTGAAAATCAGTCGCAATTACTGAGCCTCCCGAGCCCTGGCAGAGGGGGGCGGGGCCACCAGGCAGCGGTGGGGTCTGGGCAGCTTCAGAGATCAGAGGGAGCAGGGACGCAGTTTGGGACATGAAAGGCAGCGGTGCTCACAGATTGAACCACTCAGAGCTTAAAAGGGAAGGGAAGTGTGCTGGGGGCCCTGATGAGCCGCGGTTTTGAGCGGGGGAGGGGGGCTGCCAGCCACGAGGGCTTAATGCAGCGAAGCAGGTCCTAAGCTGCCAGTTTGGAGGCCTGGTGCCCACATGACCTTAGCAGGTCCGTGTCATCCTCTGGGTCCCAAGTTCCCTGCTGAGCTCTGAGAAGGCTCATCCACGCCGCAGATACTGAATGCCCACTGCATATTCCGCATCATACCAGCCATGAGGGATTCTTAGGAGCCTTGCATATCAGAGCAGGGAAGAGACAGGAAAGAAAGAAACAAGGAAATGTATAATGCTCCGCAAAATAAAGGAACCTGCAGTGATTTGGGGGGAGAGCTATTTTAGGTAGAGGGGTCAGAGAAGGCCTTCATTATAAGAGGACATTCAGTCTAAGGAAAAGAACCACGAAATGATGTAAAAGGGTGATTTCTAAATTCTGCCGTGTACCCAAATCACCAGGCGAGCTTGTTAAAGCATATGTTGCCATCCTGCTCCCCCAGCGTGGATGAGTGGGTTGGTTGGTTTCTGTCTCCCTTTGTGGCACTGCCCTCTGAGCCTTGTGCATGCTCGGTGAGTGCTTTGCCAGTGAACTACACCACCAGATTCCCACCTTCCACCCTGAGGGTGTCTGATTCAGTAGGTCTGGGCTGTTAGATGTTAACAAACTCCCAGTTGATGTTGCAGGTTTGGGGACCACACTTGGAGAACCACTGAGCTATCAGTAGAAGGCTCCAGGTACAGGAGATAGTAAGTGCGAAGATCCTATTGTGTTTGAGGAAAAGCAAAGAGATGAATGTGGCTGGAGAGGAGTGAAGGGAAAAGTGTGCAGATCCCTCAGAAGAAAGATCCGAAGCCGGGCGTGGTGGCGCACGCCTGTAATCCCAGCACTCGGGAGGCTGAGGCAGGAGGATCGCTGTATTTTCGAGACCAGCCTGGGCTACACAGTGAGTTCCAGGTCACTCTCAACTACATAGTGAGACTCTGTCTCAAAAAACCAAAAGAAAGAAAGAAGAAAGATCTGAAGTTGAATCGCATAGGACTTGGTAGCCATTAGATTTTCAGCTATACTCTGAGGGAGATGGGAAGCACAGGAGTGGCATAATCAAACTTGTATTTTAAAAGAATGGCTTGGCTGCCATGTTGAAAATAGACCCTAGGGGGAAAGGCTGGAAGGAGGGAGGCGAGTGAGGCGGAGACTGCACTGGTGAAGTCAAGAGGCAATGCTGACTTGCATGGTGTAGGTGGTAAGAGGAGATGGGATTCTGGGTGTGCGCTGAAGGCTGAGCCCACGGGGCCTGGGGGAAAACTGGGTGTGGGGAACGAGAGACAGAGGAGTCCGGAAGAAGCTTTTGACCTGATCAGCTGAATGGAGGAGCTGCTATGACGGAGACAGAGAACGCTGCAGGAAGAGCAGTTGGCAAAGCGAAGAGTTCCTTCTCGGGCGTGTTAAAGTGGACACATTAACCGGAAACTCCAGTGGAGATGCCTAGGGATGCATAGACCATGGGCAGGAACGTCAGCAGCGATAAGACTGGAGACACAGCTCTGGAAGTCAGCAGCAGAGAGGGGGAATTTAAAGCTGGAGGCTGAATGAAAGCAACAGGGGAGTGAGTTTTGATAGAGGGAAAAGCAGGACTGGA